GGGGTAAGGTGTGCTGCGATGCGACGCTAAACAGAACACTGCGTGTTGCGTGCTTCTGGTGGAATAAATTTCATTTTGAAAACAATTATGGTCGTGTTTCTGTCCAACGCCTGATGTTGAGATGACACCCTGCGCTCAAAGGGAATAACCTATCGAGTTAACTCCGTTCTAATGGCAACATTTCCAATGCCAGCCACGCCTACCCCGTCTCAGAGATAGGGAGTATACAGTGCGTTCCCATCCAAAGGGATTGGTTAAAGGTAGAGACATTGTCCTTTTATTTCTGACCAACAATTTCTATTACGGAAGCCACGCGATTGCAGATTTTTTCAAAGTTCGCTTTCGCTGTCTGTAGGGATATCCGTCGCGGTAACGTCGGCTGGGCGAGCGTAGAATGGAGCCCACCCGCGGCATTTTCTATCTATAGCCCTATTCTAGCCAAGCGGCCACCATTGGTAGCAAGTGCAGCAGCAATTGGGTCATTCCATGCCTCCTGACCCCGCCAACGCGGATTCGACATATCAGTTGTTGCTAATACTCGTCATCCGGGCAGTTGATTAGGGCGGTCGTCAACGGGCCGCAGCGCGTGCCAGGAACTATTTGCTTTTCCAGGCTAATTTAGTCATTTTTCCACCTTGTGAAGATAAGGAGCTGCTAATCTGGGAAAAAGTAGCCAAAACAGTGAAAAGTTGGAAAAAATGACTAAATTAGCCTGGAAAAAGCAAATAGTTCCTGGCACGCGCTGCGGCCGTTGACGACCGCCCTAATCAGACTGCCCGATGACGAGGCATAAAGTCACTCACCTGGTTTTTTTATCAGTTTTCACATTTTAGCAGCATAATTAGTTGAACTCATTAGTAAAAACGAGGCATCGAATTGTTCAGATGCTGAAGGTGATTGATCCGATGTTTTGAAGTATTTGAGATCATTTTTCGAGGATTCTGCAGCTTTAAAGGCTACTGCGCTACCTTGGAGTTGCTGTTTTTCAAGGATCTTCAGGCCCAAGTTTTTCAGCGAATCTGCCGAGCTGGAAAAGGTGATTCCTATGTACAGTGTCAAAGAATGAAATCGGTTAAATTCCGAAATTGTCCACCCTAAACATGGGGAAATGAAATGCATAAATACCCGCCGTTTACGGTTATATTCTTTTTCCCACACTGTTTCCACGTCCACAAGCTTTTTTTCAGCAAGCATTTTTCCTGGAAACGTCTCAGGGAAGTCTGCAGAAAGGTTTACCGTGTACTCGGAGACCGGTTCATGGAGAAACGGTCAGTGAACAGTCACGGAGCTCCGAGATACACTTTTTGGAGGCAGTAAATACGCCATTCGCTGTTGAATTATGAAACATAGTTTGTAAGGAAAGCTAGAGGAGGAACGAGGCTACGTAGAAGTGAGGATCCCTTATGAGATGGACGAAGTGAAAGAGGGTAGCTCACTTTCAAGGACGTATTGCGCGATAATCGAGAGGGTAGAGATTCATGACCATTGCGTCTTCTTCATTGGTGCGCTGAGGGGGAGGAGGGGGGAGAGAGACGCACCAGTGAGGAAGGCGCAGTGGTTGCAAAACTCCGCCCATCCCTCCCTTGGCCTCAGACAAAAATGAAAAGCGTTCTATCCGTTGACTACTAAATTTTATCTTAAGTGCAGGGTCTTTGAGCCTACGTTTGCAGGATCACAGTGTTTTCACCGAGCTCTGCCTGTTAGTCAGCATCTAGGAAGCCACGGGAACTAGAAAATCAAATAGCGAAAAGTGAAATAGTACAAAACTTGTTAGGAAGCAGATTAATGGTGGGGGAGATATGATAGCAGGAAAAGTCGATGCGACCGTGTGGACCTAATAGGATACATGAAACCTTTTGATAGGAGAACAAAAGAGAAGCAAAAGAAAGCCTGCCAAATGACTCAAATGGGGTGTGACTATAATACCGTTTCAGTTTTTCTAAATGGTAACGAGTGAGTCATCAAAGTGACTCAAGAGTTCAAGGCGTTGGAGATGATGCGGTAGCGATGTGTTGCCGAAGACCACGACCTAGTAAGGGCTTCAAATAAAAGGATACTCATCCACTGACTACGCCAGTCCAAAGGGATAATCTAGCATTGATGCTCTCAGCGTGATAAAAATGGCGCGCGGCAAAAGTCCTTTAGAGACTTTTGGCGAGAATTTTCTTCGACCTAAAAGTTCATCCAAGCGAATGATCCGACTCGGAAAGTGATGATCTCGGACAAGGCTGCTGCTTCAGGAAA